GGTAAGAAAAGCTCAAATCAATTGCTGAAAATGTGTCAGAAGATATATTGAAGTATTTACTTGATCCAGTATTTAATAGGCAAGAAAACAGTTTGATATATTTTCAATGACCTTTTTCCTTCCAAATGTTTTAATAGAAGCCCACATAATACTATGTGCAATGAAGTCACCCACAAAAAGACAAGGAGTGGGGAGTTGATGAATAAGACCATAAAGTTTTTCTTCTGTAAGTTTCTAATTGGGTGATACGTAAATGCGACATACCTTAATATGTGATGTAAAAAACAGATATCTGAAAACAAAAATTAAGGTGCTGCCACTGGCTCTAAGGAAGTTCTTTTTAAAACAATGATAACCTTATTATTGTTCTGAAGCTATTTTCTTGTGGCATTTTAAATTAATTACTATTTAACTGGAAATAAGCCACAATTGAAGTAAAAAAAAATACGTTTATTGACGTTTCAATTTCCACTTCGGAAATCGTTCTCTAACAAATTTTGTTTTTTGTTACATAGTGAAAAATTCTTTTAATAATTTAATTTTAACTAACTCATTTATATTGACAATTCAGACATACATTATGCATTTTAAAGTAGATGTGTTTAAAATGATATTGCCAATATTGTTGAGTTGCGCTCCTGGGACGACTTTATTTATTGTTACTGTTCATTGTTAGGTTTGGTTTTGGACAAAACAGATCTCAACGTGTTTGTTGTTTTGAATGTTGTTGAAATGTTGAATTTATTTCCTATCCTTTTAAGTTTTTCTAATAATGACAATAAACAAGAAAGGACAAAGAATTGCATTTATAAAATACCTTGTGAATGCGATCAGTTTTATGTAGGTGAAACATCAAGGCCAATAAATGTTAGAATAAGTGACCATCAATCTTATATTAAAAATAGAGAACTTGATAGATCTCAAATATGTAAACACGCATGGGATAATGAACATGGGGTTCAGTGGAATAATTCAAATGTAGTTCTAAAAGAAACGGATGGTAAAAAACGAAAAATCAAAGAAGCGGCTCTAATTATGCTAAATGAGGCCAATTGTGTCGCAAATTCCTCGGCAGAATGTAGTAGGATCTGGTTACCAATATTGAAAGAGGAAGTTATTAATAAGAAAATACCAGTATTAGTAAGTCAGTAACATATACAGGATACATCATTTATGTTTTTTAAATAACGAAACATATAAAATCAGAATTTTGGTGTTTATTGAAGGTAAACTAAATGAACGAACAAATACTTACCATGTCGGGATAGTATAATGAGGTTTTTTTCCTGGGTTTTCCCTCATAATTTACTATGGAATCACTAACAGGAGAATTTTACTGTCATCATGTCATGTGTTTGTCTTTTTAAAGACGAATTACATGCTGTGATTTTTTTCTGACGGATATTCTCAAGTTAAAGTTGATTTCATCTAATCGAATGAACTATCTTCGTAATGAACTATCTAAGTAAAGTCGTCTCAGGAGCGTAACTCAACAATATTGGCAATATCATTTTAAAGTCGTCTACTTTAAAATGCATAATGTATGTCTGAATTGTCAATATAATAAATGAGTCAGATAAAATTAAATTATTAGAAGAATTTTTCACTATGTAACAAAAATCAAAATTTGTTTAATTTACTGTTTGTATTTTGAGAACGATTTCCGAAGTGGAAATTGAAACGTCAATAAACGTATTTTTTTATCTTTAATTGTGGCTTATTGATAAGATATGATACGATATGATACGAAGACCACTGCGGGAATGTCGCAGGGCTTTGCGTTAGGGCCATTGCTTTAAAATATTTTTTTTATGAGATTTTGGAGAAGAACCTTGGTATTAGTGTACAGTAGATAACCTGGTAGTGCTGATAGGGTACAACTACAACTGGTAAATTATGCATAGAGGAAACCGAGCCCTATAAAAAGTGAAGGAGTACATGGAAAGCAGGACCTCACGTTGGCGGCCAAGATAACTAAAGCTATGATTCTTGAAGGTTCAAGGGCTAGAGACCATACAGTTTTTGGTCTTTGACTGCGGTGCTGACAAGAAAAATTCTTGATGTGGGACAACCATAAAGAGAATTTTAGTGAAAGTGATTCGCTCTGCCGTAAGCTACTCGGCATCGGTATGGCAACAGGTGGTTAATATTAAAAATAATAAAAGGGTGCTAGAGAAAGCCAACAGAAAAGTACTACGAAGGGTAGCACGTGTATACAGAACAACATTAACGGTGACCATACAAGTCATCGCGAGTATACTATATATCTACGTAATGGTGAAATAAAGGGCAAATCTACAGAAAGGAGGAACCATTAGCTGGGAACAACAGCATGACGGAATGGCAGGAAGAATAGACAGATGAGCTTAAGGCGGCCTAGACGAGAGTATTAATTCCAATTACCGCAGAAGGGATGAAGTGCGGTGGCGATTACCGTAAATCCAACAAACGATAGGTCATTTCTAAAGGTGCACAGCCTGGTACAATCGTTGGAAGATTTGAAACCTTCTCCTCATAAAAAAGTACTTCGAATAGTGAAATTGGAGGGCGTTGCAGCAAGAGCGATAAACTCCAGAAGAGCAGCGAATACGGCCAACAAGAGGACAAATTATGTACTTTTTTGGTTAATGTGATCTAGAAATTCATTATTATTCTTCTACTATTTTTTACCTTAAACCGGAAAGGTCACATTTTAGGACAAAAACAGATGATTGTATATATTTCCTTATATTTTTGCCAGTTTAATATAAAGATACCTTACCTATCCTTATTTGACAAAAAAACCTTATTTTGTCTTCTAAAAGTTGCAGGTAACCTATTTATTGTTAAAATATCTTTAATTTATCAAAAAACATATAGTAAACGGGAAGTAAAGAAATTGGGTAAAAAAATGTGTAACCTTTTAAAAGATTGTCAAAAACCGTGTGAAAAAACCGAATGAAAAACTAAAAATTAAACTATGTTTATAAGGGTAGTAGATAACTGTTGAATTAAAAAAGGCGTATAATATATTAAAAAGCAAATCAAGACTATGGTCTGCAGCAATCACTGACTTTCCTTTTGTCTATGTTTCCTCGTTTTTTACAGGAATTTTCGTTACTGTTAAGTTTTTTGTATAAGACCAACGTCTTTAATATTACGAATATATATTTTTATTTTCTGAAGATACAGTAAAACCTCTCTTAACCGAAACATCGTTTAACCGAAACGGCCGACAGTTTCAATAATTTCGTCAATAAAAAGTAAATTTTTATCGCAAAACGTAGACAATTCTGTTCATTTTACTACCGATTGATGCTTATGTGTGTTGGGAAATTAAAAAACCAAGAGCTCTAAAAGATATTTACAAAAAAGTACTTCCAGTTTTTTATAGAAGTCAAAAAAGCTCATGGATGTCGACCACTTTATTTTCAGAATGGTTTGAAAATGAATTCGTTCCAAGTGTAAAATTCTTTTTAAAATAAAAAAAACCTTCCCATCAAAGCATTGTTGCTTGTTGACAATGCGCCGTACTCATCCCCAAAATCTACAAAATAGTGACAATCATAGATAAATAATATAATAGTGACAATTGTCAGATTTTTGCCACCAAATGTCACGAGCTTAATTCAGCCCTTAGACCAAGGAGTAATAGAGACATTCAAGGGACATTATAAAGGAGCATTCTTAAGACATCTGTTATTACTAAAGACGAATGAATCCAAAAGTGTTCCCGAAATTCTCAAAACTTTAACAATGAAACATTTTGTTTATTGGTGTGCTAAGTCGTGGGCCAAGATCAAATCTTCAACTCTAGAAAAATACTAAAACAAACTTTTTAATGGGATTTTGATTGACGATATTTAAGAAGAAAATGATAAATAAACGACAGAAGAAATTAAACATAATAAAAAATTTGCCGGGATCTGACGAAATTAACCAAGAAGAGAAACCTGAGCAGTCGATGACTCAGAAAATGAACTCATCGACGAGGACATCATTGACATGGTTCTTCATCCAGACGACCTAAGCGTATCAGACGACAAAGATGATGACCCAACAGACAACAGACAGCACGAGACCGCCGACGAGATTTTCAATGGCTAGAGATAAGAAATTTATACAGTAGGCCTAATTAGTTAGGAAACGACTAGGTTCTTAATTTTTGTTGTCATTGCATGAAGTTTTGTTCTTTACAGATTGCTTTACGTTTCGTCGAACAACCGAATAAGGTAAACTCATGACTTTCTGCAAATAAACAATGGAGATATATAGCTGCAAAACATCGTTGTCAAATGAAAACGAAAAAGAAAATAGAACATTTCTTTAAAAAATCATGTTAAACTTGTTCATTTTCCTTAATTTTATTACTTTATTTTGTAATAATTAGTATAGTATTTTTTAATACCAATACTTTGACCAAGAATAGTATAAAAAACAATGTTATTTTTAACCGAAATTCTTGTTATCCGAAACGGCCTACCCCCCAATTATTTCGGTTAACGGAGGTTTTACTGTATATATAGTATCGACAGTATATATATATATATATATATATATATATATATATATATAATATGCATATATTTATCGATAGTATATATTGGTAGTCAATGTTTGATCTTCATTTTCATCGATAATTTCATTCAAAAAGTCTGAATTACTTTTATGATTGAAATCAGTATGCTGATTGGTTCAATTGGGCAGCCTCTGTATCGATGGCATCACTAACAATCTCATACCACTTTCTTCACAAGTGTTTAACGGTTTCTTCAAAATCTTTTGACAATATAGATGTTTTTTTCCTAAGAACTAGCCATAACTCACAATAATGACTTAGTAACACGAACAGACATGTGTAGTTTCACAAACTACGATAACTTGGTAACTGAACAGTCGGTTTAAGATTAGGAGGCATTGCTAACTTATCAGTTAGGTAAGACTTTTTCCTTTTAAGGGTTAAATAAACAACTAAAGAAAAACATTTATTTAAATTAAAAGTACAAATAAATTTTTAATTATGCCACTTTAAAGAACGAAATACAAAAAACTAAATTACATTTTTTGTATCGAAATATTTTTCTATGGTAAAAAGTATGCCTGAAAAATAAAGAAAACTAAAATTAAAAGCTATATAAAGTATGTAAAAAGATGTGTACTTCTAATACAACAATAACAAATCATGAATGTGTTGCTTGTGTGAGTCCATATCAAATAGGTAAAGAAATAATAATAAGACTTACTCACAATCAATTTAATTTAACAATCTGACGACCGGTTTCGCTTTCTATAATTTGCAAAGCATCTTCAGGTCGAGATACAAAGTTAAACTAATGCTGCAATAAAATAAACCCAATTAGGGTGGTGTCTCATAAAGATAAAATAAACAAATAAATAAATTAGTTCATACAAATTATAGTAATTATGCCAATATTACATGTCTGTGGTTTTCAAAATGAATAATTTGAATATATAAAAGGTAGTAACAGACAAGGTAAGGCCCACAATTGGTATAAAGTAGCAATCTTTTGTTGTAATAAATTAATAAATGAGCAAATAAATAAAACAAACAAACATTACTTACATGCCGGTACTCTATTAATTAATGGATGGTAGGTCATGGTTGCAAACCATGACCTACCATCCATTAATTAATAGAGTACCGGCATGTAAGTAATGTTTGTTTGTTTTATTTATTTGCTCATTTATTAATTTATTACAACAAAAGATTGCTACTTTATACCAATTGTGGGCCTTACCTTGTCTGTTACTACCTTTTATATATTCAAATTATTCATTTTGAAAACCACAGACATGTAATATTGGCATAATTACTATAATTTGTATGAACTAATTTATTTATTTGTTTATTTTATCTTTATGAGACACCACCCTAATTGGGTTTATTTTATTGCAGCATTAGTTTAACTTTGTATCTCGACCTGAAGATGCTTTGCAAATTATAGAAAGCGAAACCGGTCGTCAGATTGTTAAATTAAATTGATTGTGAGTAAGTCTTATTATTATTTCTTTACCTATACAACAATAACAGTTTAGTATATAAAAAACATTTTATCGTTAGATCTTTAGCTAAATGGGTTTTTTAATTTAACACTTAACTATACTCAGACTATATACGCAGAAGGATATATAAATTTTTTGTCATCATAGGACTGACCAAGTCCAATGATAGGTAGTACCTCCAGTACTACCAATGTTTATGCTTCCACAAGTAGTAGTGATTTGCCTTATTGCCAAATGGAATCTGAAAATTATGATCCTCCGGACGCTTCCAACGACATAAAGGAGGCAGTTCCAGTAAAAATGAAGAAAAAGTCCCGAAAACCAAAAGAAAAACCAGTTGCGATTCTATCGTACAATAAAGGCAAAGCTCGAATTGATTTGTCAGACCAGATGGCATCTTATGCCACTCCGCTCCGAAAGAGTATCAAATGATATAAAAAGTGAGGAATAGAATTGCTTTTGGGAGTATCAATGGTAAATGCGTGGGTTCTGTATAAACGAGTCACCAAAAAGAAAATCCTAATCCGTGCTTTTCGTGACATCATAGCAGCACAGCTACTTCACATAGCAAATCTGAAAAAGGAGCAGTTTCCACAAAAACCGCAGGAATATCACCATTTACTTGTAAGAGTCGATGAAAATATAAAGAGAATCCGTCGCAGGTGTTCGTTGTGCTATGCAAAGATTCAGAAAGAATCAGGACGTATACTTGCAAAATCTAAAGCCAAACTAACATATAATTATTGTGACAAGTGCCCGGGACAGCTGCAAATGTGTGTATTATGTTTAAATGAAAAACAATAATTTTACAAGTTTTAAAATTTTTTGCTTTGTATTAAAGTTATTGTTTAGTGTAGTTAGTTGATTTTTGATCCATTTGGTTAAGTTCTAAAAATACGTTTGTTCAGAATGAGTTTTGTGTTAATATTTCGTAAAACAAATATTTTTTAAACTTTTTTTAAAATATATGTTTCCAATTTTGCTCAAACCAAGATACATACTACTTTGCCCAGAGGCCACGCTCACGATTTCCTATTAAAAAGACAATGTATTGGGTTTCATATTTGATATACATGGCTAGCTGATCGATACGTGTCTCTCAAAAATGAGCGACGTGGTCCTCTGAGAAATGTTGGTGTCTCTCATTTATTAGAGACGTAGCGCGCAATGTGTTAAGACGCTTTTTCTCTTCGATTTGTTAATAGTGTACTTAAGGGCTGATAGGTTCTGATAATGACAAAAAGAGTTTTACAAATTAATGTTAGTAGCTACCCGGTCTTCTTCTTCTTCTTCTTCACGTGCCATCTCCGCTACGAAGGTTGGCTATCATCATGGCAATTTTGACCCTGGAGGCTGCCGCTCGGAACAATTGTATGGAAGTGCAAGCAAACCACTCCCTGAGGTTTCTCAACCACGACATTCTTCTCCTACCTATGCTGCCTTCAATCTTTCCTTGCATAATTAGTTGTAACAGTTGATATTTATTCCCACGTGTAATATGTCCCAGGTATTGTAGTTTCCTCATTTTAACACTCAATACGACCTCCTTTTGTTTGTTCATCCTGTCTAATACAACTTGGTTAGTTATCTTATCCTTCCAGGAGATTTTTAACATTCTACGGTACGCCCACATCTCAAATGCCTCTAGCTTACCCATACATTGCTTATTTAGTGTCCACGCCTCCACCCCATACAACAGGACCGAGAAAACATAACATTTAAGCATTCGTATTTTCAGCTTTAGGCTTAGGTTACGGCTACACAACATTTGTTTCATATTGTTAGAGGCACTGCGGGCTTTCTCTATTCTTATTCTTATTTCTCTGGTGTATTCGTTTGACTCGTTAATATTTGTTCCGAGGTAATTGTAATTTTGTACTCGTTCAATGAGATTCTGTCCTACATGTAAGTTGATATTATTGATACGTTTCTTTGTAATTATCATGAATTTGGTCTTCTTTGTATTCAGTGACAGACCAAATTCTTCACTTGCTTCTACCACTTTGTTTAGTAATCTCTGTAGGTCTTCAATATTTTCTGCTATGAGCGCGGTATCATCAGCATATCGGATATTGCAAATGGGGTGACCGTTGATCTTTATTCCGGCTTTTTCGTTCATAAGAGCTTTTTTAATAACTTCTTCCGCGTAGACATTGAACAAGGTTGGAGACAACACACAGCCCTGCCGAACACCTCTTTTGATCTGTATTCTATCTGATATCGAGCTGTTAATTCGTACTGTAGCTTCTTGTTTGTAGTATAGATTCCTTATCACACGCATGTCCCTTGTATCAATATTTTTATTTTCCAGTATTTGCATCAGTGGCGTATGTTTTACTGTATCAAATGCTTTATTATAGTCTAGGAAACACACAAATATGTCTTGATTTACGTCTAAGCAACGTTGTGTTAGAACATTAAAAGCAAACAGTGCCTCTCTAGTTCCTAGTCCGTCTCTAAAGCCAAATTGAGAGGGTCCGATGTCAACTTCCAATTTTTTATATATTCTCCGATGAATGATTTTTAAGAAGACCTTTAATATATGACACATGAGACTGATGGTGCGATGTTCCGAGCATTGTCTCGCATTAGACTTTTTGGGTATGGCTATTATTGTTTTTACTAGCCATTCATTAGGTATGATACCAGATTTGTAAATGCTGTTAAATAGTTCCACGATCTTTATTAAGTTGTTGCCTTTGACGAGTTTAATTATGTCTATTGGTAGTTCATCTGGGCCTGTAGCCTTCCCCGACCTCATTTCTTTAATCGTATATTCCACTTCATCTCTTGTTATTTCTGGTCCTGTGTCACTGTTTATGTATTCGTTATCTACATTGTCTCTTTGATCTTTAAACAGTTGTTCTATATACTGTTTCCAGACTCTTAATTTTTCTTCTGTGTCCATAATAATGTTTCCACTCTCGTCTACTAATATGTTGTGTCTGTTACTTTGTCTCCTCGTCAGCTCTTTGATCTTACGATGTGCATTAAAGCTGTCGTGTTTATTTTGTAGTTGTTCGATTTCTTCGCATTTTTCCCCGTACCAGTTTTCTTTAGCTGTGCGTATTTTTAGACGAATTTCTTTTTGTATCTCTTTATACTTTTGGTTCTTTTTGTTTTTCTGTTTTCTTCTTTCATCCATTAAGTTCAGTATCTCATCTGTCATCCATTCTTTTTTATATTCTTTACTTTTATGGAGGTGACTTATGCTTGGTTTCATTAACGCTGTTTTAATGTCTGTCCAATTCTCATTGATGTTAACTTTTGTGTTGTCTTTTATGGGATGTATCTTTGTTACTGCTTCATCAATTTCTTGTATCATCTGTTCTCTTACTTCTGGTTTTCGTAATCTTTTGATATCAACTGCTTTTTTGGGGGTTGTGCTATTAATTTTCCCGGTCTTCACAACTACGCAATGTACTGTAACGCAGGGTGTAGGGAGATAATATGCTGGAGCCAGTCGCAGATACAATAATAGAAGAGCTGAGCGCACAAGTTGGTACAAGTGCAATTAGAATATTAAAAATGGGTTGTTTTACAATAATACAAATAACATTTGTTACGCCGAAAATACAGTCGGCATTAATTGATTCGTCGAATTTTTTAAGTGCAAATTTTATCTTTATCAATTATTTCAGCAACGTTTCTATACAGATATATACAGAGACAACCAAGGATAGGAACTGACAATATCTGGCCTGACATAATTATTTTATTTTTAGGCACAACAGGCCGTTAAGTCATAGGGCATTTTTTTACAACCTAATTGTAATATTAACTAATTACAATTATTATTTTAAACAAAATTTTAACTTAAATATATATATACAACATTCTTAACTGCTCTGAAGGACCTGGTGTACAATATTTCTCCATTCACTTTTATTTTGTGCTTTTCTTTTCCAGTCTCTCACCTTCACGTGTTTAAGATCATCCTCCACTTTACTAATCCACCTCGTTCTGAGTCTACCTCTTCTTTTGGGGCCGAATATTTTTCTGGTTATTACTAGTTTAGGCATTCTGTTTGTTGCCATTCTTTCCACATGTCCCAACCATCTGATTCTGTGTGCCTTGACGAACTTGGTAATGGTAGGTTCTTTGTATAAAGCCATTAATTCATTGTTAGTTCTTCTCTCCCAACCATCTTCTGTCTTCCGTCCCCGAATATGCGTCTCAATATTTTCCTTTCCCATCTCTTCCTTCTTATTTAATGTCTCTGTCTCACTGGCATATGTTACTATAGATTCTGAGTTTTCTTAATCTAGAAACGTATTTTGAGTTTAGTAGGGCTCTTAAACTACCTAATTTTTTATTCCCTTTTGCTATTCTGGCTTCGGGCTACCATTTTCCTTTTCCATTTTCATCGAAAACTACACCCAGGTATTCAAATTTGCTGATATAGGTAATTTATTATTCCTGATATATTAGCAGACAAAATAAGGACCATTGAAAAAAATAAAAAGAAAAAATCATCAGAAGATAATATCGTTATAAAAGTAGTGAGGATTATAGTAGATAGGATTCTAAAGTCTATAAAGAAATTTTTTAAATGAAACAGCTTCGTGAAGGTCATCCCAAACCATTGTCGAAGGTTTTCCTATCACGAGATATGACGGCGACCCAGTCCTCTTCTCCCAAATACTTTACCCTGCATAACGAGTTGAAGAATTCAATATTTTTCTTCGTTCCAGATCACGTGACCAAAGTACTCAAGCTTACATTGTTTCACTAAATTAAGCACTTCTTTTTCTTTTGTCATGCACTGTAGGACCTCAATGTTGGTGGCCTGGTCCACATACGATATTTTTAGTATCCCCCTGTAGATCCACATACCGAAGGCTTCAATTCGCTTTTCTGTAGCTTCGTGTCAATGTCCAGACTTCAACTTCATATATTAACATTGGAAGAATGTAGTACATCACTATCCGCATCTTGGTTCCTAAACTCAGATCACTGCAGCACTGCAAGGATCTCAACTTGATAAATGTAGACCGTGTCATTTTAATTCTAAATCAAGTCTCTTGAGCGTAGTTCCATTGTGATTTGAGGGTAGTTTCAAGATAAGTGAATCTGTCGACTATCTGGATCTCTTCGCTACCTGCCATTACTGCCCTGGGATCTAAATTTGCACAGCTGATAACCATGAATTTAGTTTTCTTAATATTAAGGTCTCTAGTCCGTATGTTATGCTCACAGTTCTCACTCGGTCTAGCAAGGCTTGCAGATCGTTTAGGCTGGTTGCTAGTAACACAGTGTCATCAGCGTATCTGATATTATTAAGCTATTCACCAAACACTCGGATTCCCATCTCTAGGTTTGTGAGGGCTTTAGAAAAAATTTCGTTAGAGTATATATTGAAAAGAATCGTCGAGAGTACACAGCCTTGTCTTACTCCTCGCATGATCTTCACTTAGTCGGTCAGCTAGTCTTTGACCTTGACTTGAGCACACTGGTTCCAGTATAAGTTCATGATGATCCGAATGTCCTTCTCAGTAAGTAAGTCTCTTTTATCCAGAGGTGTAAGACGTTTTCGTCGGATCAAAATTGAGGTGATGAAATCCAAATTGCTAGAGACGACCAAACTACTAAAACGCAAAGAAGAATCACTTCACGATGAGCAGTATATAGATCTCTATTAGACATGTTTAAGAGCAACATACCACATTATTTCAAAAATAATACGTTTGAATAATGTGTGGTTCCAGTTGTTGCGCAACAACCAAATTTCCTTTTTATTCAATTTTGTATCCAATCGCACTGTATATTAGTTTTAAGGTTTAGATTTGTAAAATTCTTTTGTACCATTTAGTAATTTGTACGGAAGCCGATAGCTCGTATTTAAAAGAACTTTCTAGACATAAGCTTTCAAACTCGACAAAGAATCATAACAATGAAACGATCATTAGTAATTTCCAAATTATCGGTTTGAGTCGTTTCGAAAAAATTCAACAGAAAGGAAAGTTGAACAATAACCTTAAGTAGTTTTACCAATGAAAGAAGAGTTAAAGGTAATGTAAATGTAAACAGATCCTTTATATACGTCATGGGTCAGGGGGGCAATTTATTAATTTCAAGAAACCGTTATGAGCGGAGTGTAATTCAAGGGGGTGAGTTAAGATCTGTTCGAATTCAGCATTGGGTAAGCTCCAAGCTCTTGTTCGCGCTAGCCGTACTTCAAAAAGTTTAAAACAGTCGAAAGATTAATAATTTTAGTCAGGCAAGTTTTCTAGTTTTTTCTGGACATAAATTCAAGACGATTAAATTTCGTAAATCAGCTGTCGTAAGCAAGTAATTATCGCCCAAAATACGTTGTGGTAAGTGTTTAAATAGACTTGTTAAAACGTTCTTTGAGAAACTTTCATTTATCCCAGTTTTCTGGGTGGTCCTTCAAAAAAGCATAGAAAGCTTATTTCCCTAAGGACAAAACCTGTTCCACAATTAAAAAACCAGCGATCTTTGACTGGTGCGCGAAAAAAAGGAAACAGGACAAGATGCAAAAATAAACAGACCTGGATCTTCGCACAACAGTCTTGAATTAAGGCTCCAAAACACTTTTCTTTACCCAGGCTACAGCAACGAAGCTCGGAGTAGCCTAAAGACTTACAGAACGCTCGTTACTTGGATTGATGCTTAAACAGAAGATAGAGACGAAGAAGTAATAAGAACAGGTGGCGTCACAGATGTCATATAGACAGAGAATATAGCATGATTAAAGTAAAACTGGCCGGGCCATGTAGCCAGAATGAATGATGGGCGGTGGACCCAAAAAATTAAAGTATGAAGACCACTAGCTGACAAAAAAAAACAAAGGTAGACGACCTACAAGATGGACAGCAGACGGCAAATAAATCGCTGGGAATTGGCTGCAGGAAACTTAAAACCGACAAAATTTAAATAAATTACGGCCGCTATATGCCCAAATTTAGACGCAGACGGCTGGATAATGAATTGTCCTATTATTCCATTTTAATTGTGTTTCCTTCATCGAACAATCAAATTAGATAACGAGTAAACTTTAAATAATGATTCAGTAGATAAAATGATCTTACCGTTTTATCTTCATCATAATGACATTTCAGTGTATTAAATACGACGTCACATACATCTGCACCAGCTGAAATAGATTAATGTATTAGTATCCAGAAGAAATATAAACTTAAATAATAGGAAATAATCAAAAGAGACAACAAATTCACCTTGACTACCACACTTTTTTATTACTGGGGCAGCATACTGTAGATTATCGGGTAAAGTAGCTAACGCAATATCTATGTCAACTTTTCCATCACCACTCATCTGTAACAAAGTAAAAATCAAAAATAACTCTTTAGAAAGTGTCTGGAGCTTCTTAAAGTGTTACTTTGTTTCGGTTTTCGTCCGTAGTATCGATTCTACAGGGATTCAGTTCCATAGATTTCATATAATAATATTTGTCTTTTATTTTTACTGTGTTTTATTTTATTCTGGTATATTGTAGTTCTACGAGAAACTAACCATGCATGCCAACAGAAAACTAATGACACCTCTATGTGACCTGATACCCTAAAACCATAAGCTACAACTAAACAAAGCATGACCACCACGTCAATATCTTTCGTGGTCTAAAGGATTTTCCCCTATTTTTTTATCACATCATTGATGGTAATTTACTTTTAATGTTTTCCTTTATTTACTTGCAATGTTCCGTTGCCAAACAATTCATTTACTTCTAATGTTCCGTTGCCAAACAAGTTTAATGATCAGATTTATATAACTTTGGACTTCTAAACTAAAGAATCTCCTTTTTATTTAGTAATGGTTCCAATAATTTTTTTAAGCCTTTATGACTATACTTCTTAATAAATGAAAAGCAAATCCTGGAAAGGATTCTAATGTTTCTATTAAAAGCATGTTACTGACTTTTAGGCAACTATTGTCATTTCTAATATGCCTTACTGTATGTCTAAATCTCTTCAATTACTCATTTTTGAAACTGCTGAGCTATCTTACTAGAGTACTAATAGGTAGCGGGTAGATACTTTTAAACGATCCCGGTAGGATCGTTTATAACAGGTTTACTTGCTCTCAGATTCAGATACTTAGTAAAATCATGTCCAATCATTTAATGCTTTTTAATTTTATTTATCTATTTCCTTTCCGTCCTTGGTGACACCCAGGAGCAATCATCAGAACCAGCTTAAACTGCAAAAGTAATAATCATGAACCGGCTTGATACTTTGATACTGGTGGCTGTAGCAGTTTGAATGTTTGTGGTACTGCTATGAGGAAGGGCGGTTATTACGGCAATAAACTAGGATAATAAAAACCTTAAGAGTCGGCATAAAAGGATACACACAATCAATGGTACAGACTCACATGTCGACAGCCAGCAATATATCTGTGATCTAAAAAAGGAAACATGTCCTCAATACCTAGGCATCTAAACTTGGAATGTAAAAAGTAGGTACCATGGCGGAAAAACATTGTAAGAGAGATGAAAAATTAAATATATATTACATATATATATAATATATATTACATATATATACAAAAACACCATATATATATATATATATATTATATATATATATATATATATATATATATATAGGTGGTAATTGGTTGCGGGAAACCAACAGAATTAGAAGAAATTATGAGAGGCCTACTTTAGACGCAGAAGATTGCTCGATGATAAATTTGTATACGGTTCGGCTTGTCTTACGCTACTGTTACTTTCTCTTCCTCGTTGGCAACATTGTAGTTTTAAAAATTTGTGTCTGTTGAGAAAAAAAGGATAATAAGGTAAAGTCACCTAATACCGACCCATACAAAAATAACACCTATTACCGATCCAAATGATTACAATTTCAGTCTAGTCGCCAAAATCACGTGAATAATTTATTGGTGTCTAGAACGAAAGTACCCGAATTGATGCCATTCGAATTAGTTTTATGGTCAGATTTCGTAGAGTGTAGGTTACGTGTGCTTGTGATTCATTAAAGGGGTAAGTACACAAATAAAGAAATTAAGCATAAAATTCAAGTAGATATTTTTATATATTTATTATAAAGTTTGAAGACATTTCCATACATGTTGTCTATACTATAATGTAGTAATTTTTCGAAGATTTGCAATATTTAATGAAAAAATCGTAAAAATATATTGAGTCGGTAATAGGTATAGATATTTCTAATACCGACCCAAGGTCGGTATTAGGTTTGTAAACCTTTATTTTATTAATCTATTATTTTGCTTTGCCATGTAGTTGCACCATGATTGTTCATTTCTTAAGTACATATACTATTAAGTCGACGTTTTTTTCAATTTTCGACCCATGATTTATGTTATGAGTAACCTAATATTCTAAAAATTTCTTTGTCTGGAGCGACAAACATGTTAATATTTTAATAAGTCCAAACCCCTGGAAAATGTAGTTAATATAGATATTACTTTTGGTATATTTAATTATGGTAATTGTTAAAATCTTTAATTAACAAGAAGAAGGCGTTTTAGTCATTTGTCTTAAGTTTTACACAGTCGGTATTAGGATAAGTGCGACCATATTGAAATCAATTTACCGACCTATTAGGTCGATAATAGCAAATTCCATTAGCTTAATACCGACGCATTAAAAAAGGTGTTCGTTATTAAGTCAGACATTGCACTCATTAAAACCGTCTGCTTTTTTTAATTAATTATATATTTCTTTTCAGGCATTATGGCATCAAAAATACGTGTACAATATTCAAAAGAAAAATTGTCTAGCGCCTTGGAAGCTATAAAAAATGGGATGTCAGTTTACGAGACATCTAACAGATTCGGATTGCCAAAGACCACTTTACGGGATAAACGTTCAGGAAGATTTAAAAATCCCAAGTGGGATTCTTTATTTGGCGCAACAAGGGTTCCCTGAGACAAATTCCAAATTAATACACACAGTAGCTAATTTAATTAAAAACTTGGACCGACAAAATCCATTTAAAGACGGTATTCCGGGAAATCACTGGTTTCAAAAATTCATGGAAAGACATCCTGAACTTAGTACAAGAGTGTCCCAAAATCTTACCGCAAATAGGAGTAATTTCAATGAGCAAAGTATTAGAGAGTGGTTCAGAAAGGTTGGGGATTATTTCACGAGCAACAATGTTATGAATATTTTTGAGGATGGATCCCGAATATTTAACTGCGATGATGCTTTCATTTTATGTCCCAAGAAGAAGCAAGTCTTAGCAAGAAGAGGAACAAATCTGGTGTATAATAGAATAGCTAATGATGAAAAAGAGTGTTTGACAGTATTGGCTAATGTATCAGCAAGTGGTTCACTTGCTCCACCAATGATATTATTCCCATATAAAAGACTTTCGAAGCATATTACAAAAACTGTGCCACCAGGTTGGGGTTTAGGGTATACAGAAAGCGGCTGGATGAGTATGGAAGCTTTTTATGAATATATTGCGAATTGTTTTTATCCATGGCCCGAAAAACATAGAGTGCAGCTTCCAATTGTATTATTCCTCGATGGATACACCTCCCACATATCTCTAGCGCTAAGTGAATTTTGCAAGGAGAAAGGTATAATATTGGTTGCATTATTGCCAAATTCGACCCACGTTCTGCAGCCTCTAGACGTAGCTGTATTTAGACCGGTGAAAGCAACATGGCGAAACGTGGTACATGATTTCAGGCTTAATCACGAAATGGCCAAAATTAAACGAACAGACGTCTCAGGTTCAGTCAAGATTTGTTTCGACAAATGTTTAAAAGAAGATACAATAAAAAATGGATTTAAATGTTGTGGACTCTGTCCATTTAATTCATCAAAGGTTCAATACAACAAACTCTTCAAGACCAAAACCAAAATAGCAGAACATTTAACAGGGACTTTCGAAATTTCTAACAAAGATCAAAATAATCAAGAAACTCAAGAATATAAACAATTCAAACAGCAATTCGAAAATCGTTTGGGCCCTGACACACTTTGTTCTTTCAAATCATCTGGCAGCTCTTGGCAAGGAGACTCTACTTTCGAAAAATAATTTGTGTATTGGAAATCTCTAGATGATAAAAATTTAGATGCAGACCTGGATAACAGAAATGAACACTTACAAATTACTATAAATGACACAACATTCATTAATAATATTTCCAGTATTGCGGACTTTAATGAAGATAACTGGGATGTTCTTGACTTCGAAGTCCAGGAAAATGAGAATCTCGCTATGTGTAGGTTCAGTTCCTCCACTAGTGATGATTCATAGGAACTAGTCTCAGAAAAAACGAATAAGATTGTTCTGGAAATTCACCCTGTTGTTAACACTAATAATTTAGAACATGGTGATAATTTTGATGTGAATGAATGCAAAGATTACGATAGTATAGCAAAAACGCCTCAAAAGCTTTTTACACGCTCTGAGACTAACTTTGAAACGACATATTTAAAACTGGTGCTAGAAAGTCCCCAGATAACACAAAATGACATTTTTGAACAACTAAGCAAAGGACTGAACGATTACCTTCAAATACACACGTATCTCCTCTACAGCACACGGAAAACCAACAACAACCAGAACAACAAAATTATTGCAAACTCCACAGACATTTTTTTTTTAGTTTAATTTCATATATTTTATTTGTTTTACTTAATATAATAAACACTTTTTTATAGTCAGGGGTGTTTTACTAAATATAGACAATGCTGATAACATCTGTTATCCCACAATCGGTAATAGGTTATAAAAAATCGGTAATAGGAAAAAATATTACTATTAGGTCGGTATTAGGAAAATTTGCTCTTTTTTGATGTAGTATTTTTTCTTAGCAATAAAAATTGAAATTTGGAAAAATAATTTAATTATTTGGAAACGTAATATAGTGATCTTCACATAAATTCTACGAGATTTTTGAAACCATAAAAATATAAAAATAATCCAACGAAATGTTGAACTTTCCTTAACTGGTGCGGTAATAGGTGACTTTACCTTAGTAAGTTAGAAAGAAGACAAAACAAAACTTAGTGCTGTGTTGTGTATCTACTATAGTGCATAGCTATTAGATAAAGTAAGGACGCCATAGAGTTTAGCTATTTTAACCTATTTTAGTACGATTTAGTGATTTAAATCAAAAAAGAATTAATACTTGGTCAATTGTGACTAGATTACAGTGGTATGAACAGAACTAAGATGCTTATTAAAAAAATGAGCCACTGTTCCTCTTATTTTATATTAAAACCCTTAGTTACTACTCTAACTAGTAAAATGGTTTATTCTACAGGAACATTTTTTTTACGTTTTTCATTATTGTTATGTTGATCCTAACACGTTTAAGTAGTATACCAATTTTTATAATATCCACCAACATTTGACATCTATTTATCAAGTTAAACGTGTTGTTATAATCTACTATTTGTATATATTCAAAATATAAGTTAATTTAAGCATTCTTACTTACCACACCGATTTTGTCAAAATAACATTTCATGTAACATTTTAGTTTAGCATCTTGAACAAAATCTCCACTTCTGGCTTTGTCAATGACATCTGTAAAAGAAACATAGTAGCTGTTAAGAACTATAAAAATTTAAAAAAAGAGGTTAGTCTTCGTAAGTGGGTATATTTATTTAAAAAACCCTTAAAAGGGCTACATCACAAAAACAAACGTTTTCGGACTAAACAGTCCATCATCAGGTTTAAATTTTAAAATTGCTAGGTTAAAATGTCTGAGCCACCAAATTACATGGGTAAAAACCCTTTAAATTATATATAGTTGTAAAAGATTATACATCTTGTTGTTAATAAACTGTGATGTTCAGTATTAAATTAAATATGACTACAGGTAACATACATTGTTGAATTGAGTTTCAGAGCCGGGGAGTAAACCTCTACACACGGAGAACACCTGGAAACTGATTCAGTTTCCAGCTGTTCTGCAGCGGCTCTGGAACTCAATTCAATAATGTATAGGCTATTCCACGAATATACGACTGTTTTGATTTACTCCGACAACGAATATTTTACTGTGCAATGAATAAAGACCCAGGCCAATAAATTCGATAAGTGGATGTTGTTGTATACATACACAAATAATGCAATTTTTGAAAAATTTGCTATTTTTCAACAGCTGTACTTTTGAATCTTCTAAATGGATTATAATTCGGCGGACGAACTGTCGACACCAAATTGTCTTTGTACCTGAGGTAATCGAAGGGTCAAATTTTATTATAGGAAATTTCGACACCGCGGCGTAGAGCAGGTAGGTAGGTAATTAGCGGCGATGGACATTTGCACCCAAGCAGGACAAGCAGGTTTTCCCAATATTTATTGTCACGGCGGGGGGCGTGGCACTTGTGTACTTGTGACTAAATTATTTTAGTTGTAATTTATTTCTTGTTTGACGTTGACTTGTGCACGTATACGGATATTTAAAAAATGAGTTTGATAAAAAGTTCCCGTGGTCGAGATTTATTAGTGGTGGAGCATCATTCGTTCTCGAAACAGAAAGTGTTAAAAAGCGGCGAGATATTTTGGCGCTGCATTCAAAGAAACACTAAGTGTTCCGCAAAAGTATTTATAATAGGCTGTGAGGACCTCACCATCACAAGAAGTGATTTGGTGCATAATCATGAAGCCGATCCAAAAAAGCTTGAAGTAAAGATGGTAACCAATGCATGTAAAAGAAAAGCCCAAGAGGACATATCGGAAAAGCCTGCCAAAATTACAAGAACTGCTGTTGCTGAGTGTGATGCCAATTTGCTGACGGTTCCTGACATAGCTAGCATAAAAAAGAACATTTACAACTATCGTCGTAAACTGCTACCAGGTCCGTTACCAAGATGCATATCAGAAGTCCATAACTTCACCAGTAGTGTAAGTTTCACTTACACCAAAACTGGTTTAAAAAATTCAATCTTTGGGTTTGGTACAAGAATATAAGGAAACAAATTCAGAAATTGGAAAATGGTTAAGGCATACGTTTGGTTTAACTTATTTAAATTCAGCAGAAGTTGAAGAATGCTTTCTTTATGATTTAATGTCATATAAACCTATAAACGCAACACTTGATATATATGCAGATTATTTACTGGAAAATTACATTTTCGATAGCGCTCTATTTCCACCACACATATGGTCTAATCAGAATCCGTCGATTGCGAGGACCACAAATGTCTGTGAATCCTGTCATTCGAGATTTAATTCTTCTTTTTATTCAACACATCCTTCTATTTTTATTTTTATTGAAAAGTTATAAGAATTTCAAGTAGACACTTATGTCAAAATAAATAGTTTACATATACCAGCAAAAATCAAAGATACTACTGTTAAGGCTAAATTGGCATTTTTGGAGAAAATGATGGATAAACTACGATCCCAACAAATACGTAGGTTAGATTTTATAAAAGCTGTATCTTATCATTCCTATAATAGCAATTAAATCATTGTATACAAGTATATTAACGGTAAAATATACAAAAATTAGGTACTAGTTGTATTATATTTAGATATTATTACAGTTATAAAGAAATAAAATGCACATTACTTTTATTCAAATAAATAAATTAATTAATTATGGTATTTTATTTATGTCGCAGCTATATTTATTTGGTGTCGAATATACCTGTAAGATAAAAACGGGAATTGGGGCTGGTGTCGAAAATTGCCATTAAATTTTAGTCGCTACCTGCTTAGTGTCGAAATTTCCTACGCCCTTATAATTTACCGATGCTAGTTTTAAAGGTATTTAGATATCCTTTAATTTACCTGTTGTTTCAGTTTTTTCGTCGTTTAGTTAAATTTTGAAAATTAATTAAAAATCATAAAATTTTATTACTTTTCGTTTCGGTCTTGCCCTAGAAAATAAAACTTTTGTTTTGCTGTTTTATGAATTATTTCGTCAAAAAGTTGACACTAAAACTACAAAAAATACGACTTTGTGAGTTAAAATCTATTTATCCAATTAAAATAAAATACGATACCTATAATACAATGTCTAAAAGATACTGATCCATAACCTTTTTTTAGTTATACATTATTACAAAAATATTTCTTAAACTCACCTTCAGAAACTCCAATTTCTGATACACACATAGTATGTATAGAATCCATATTCTGTTGCTGTTTTTCTGTTAGAGAAGCCTAAAAAATAGCTTGTTGAATGGATAGAAATTCTGAAATGAAGCAATATATAATAGACCAAGAGCTGGTGTACCCTCCGAGTAACGATACCTATGTCTACATGGCTAGAAATTTTAATAGTGATAAGTAAGGAGCGGATTTTATGGTAAAAGCATATTGCTTGCATGTGTTGCATATTTAAGAACTTGTTGTAACATGTTGTAACATTTTAAAAGAAATATACAAATTAAGTGAATTTAAAAACTTAGATTAAAAGATTAAAAAAGAAAAAAACTTATTTTTTCCAAAAAAAAAATTCTAAAATTTTTTAATTTGACACAAAATATTCCCCCGCATATGTGGTTGTATCTTTGCGAGAACTACACGAAGTCGGATCATTCACACACACACACACACACACACACACACAACACACACACACACACACCACACACACACACACATACACACGCACATACACACGCGAAGCGTTCAACCCAACCCCTAGTGACATGTGTATACCACTGCTAGTCAGTGGGATCCACATGTCCGAAGATCAAACCGGTCTCGCTCCAGAAGAGCTAATCATTCTGGATCGGTACCTATCTGACTCCCAGGTTTTTCCTCCACCCCTTTGCTACGTGTGACATACGTAACAAAGGCTTATGAACTTTACGTCGGGCTATTTGGGTAATGAACCAAACCCTCCGTATCGACATGGTTGTGGTTAAGCCACCTGAAATTAAGGGGTAGCTAGAAGCTTTTCTCCCTAGTTACTTTACTGATTCTAATTTGGCATGAGCATTACTTTGGACCTGATGTCCCTAGAAAGTATGTGCCCCGCACGGAGAGGCACCAACCTAAGTTGGTGCCCCTCCGTACAGGGAAATGTGTGTGTTCGGACACTCAGCTGCCGATTTGGCAAAAATTAATTTGTTCTCCTCGCCAGCTGAGCATCCGACTGGTCTGGCCACCGAGCCCATGCTTGCCGCGCTATCGCCTCGATGCTCAGAAGGTCGCGTGCTGGTCTCTCAAATTGGACCTGCCTTAAGGGCCTAAGCCAACAAGTTGGCTGTACAAAGGGAGCAGATGGCTCTCTTTATACCTTTTATTCGTGTGTTTATCTGTGTGCTGTGATAGGGGTCAGTATCACGTATTATATCGCGCTCGGTTTATAAATATATAATTCATTGTCACTATAATTCGCTTGCGGAAAATAGAGGGTCTTTTATCGGATTTTTGTGCTAATACTAAAACTTAAGACTACTTGATTTTTTTTGGTGAGTAACTTCCAAATTTTTTTTTTTTCCTACCTCTATCCCGCGTTGCCTTTGACTAGTCTGTGCCTATCTCTGTCTTTACTGTGTTTTATGCTACTGGGAACATATCCTGATATCTGTTGTTTAGGCCGTCTGTGTGTCGTCCTAACGTTTTCATCATAGTCTGTTAGCTCACGCAGCTTTCTGTTGGGGTGGTTTCTTATCTCATTGTAGATGTCATATGCTTTATCGTTCATGGTGTGAAGAATTCTTTTCTGTTTTGTGTCTCTGTATAGGTACCGTAGAGGTACATATCTTGGTACATTTAATGCATCTCTGATTAGCTGATTTTGTGCTACTTGCAGTTTCTTCCTGTTTGTTTTACACGTATGTCCCCAAGCTGCTGATGCGTAAGTTAGCGTTGGAAGTATTATACTGTTTGCTACCGTTATCTTCGTCCAGAAGTTTAGTTTGCTTTTTTTTCCTATTAGTGAGGCAAGTTGTATTTTTGTTAGTTTTGCTTTATGTACTACTTGGTTTGTATGTTCCGTGAATGTGAGCTTGTGATCAAGGGTCACTCCTAGGTATTTAGCTTGATTAATCCATTCTATGTCTTCATTTGCTAGGTTTAGTTGCATGTTGGGTATTTGTCTTCTTTTCCGAAACATGACGGCCTGTGTTTTATCCGGGTTAAGTGCGATTTTCCACTTTATGCACCATGCATATGCATATAGCCGATTTAGTGAACGTTGTAAATCTCTGGTTGCAAAGTAAATGTTTTTGTTGCTGGTTGCTAGCGCTGTATCATCTGCGTATAAGGTGAGCAGAGTCTTGTAATCGCTGGGTGTATCTGCGGTATATATGGTATACAGGTAAGAAGACAGCACAGCGCCCTGGGGCACACCCGCCTCCAGAGTTCCGACCTCGGATAGGGCAGACCCTATACGAACTCGGAATCTCCGGTTTGCCAGGTATGACGCAAGGAGACATGTCATCGTCTCACTGTATCCGCTATGATTCATTTTGTATAGTAGGCCCTCGTGCCATACTCTGTCGAATGCTTTACTAACATCAAGAAAAGCTGCAGCTGTGAACATTTTCTCATTGTAGCCTTTGGTAATGAATTCCGTTAATTTGAGTACTTGTAATTCACAAGAGTGCCTGGATCTAAAGCCAAATTGTAGCTTCTGGAATCATTCCGATTGCTTCAGACTCTGTTTGAAGTCTTTTAAGATTATTTTTTCGGCTATTTTGCTTAAACATGATAGTAGACTTATAGGGTCGATAGTTTTGTGGAAAGCTCGCATCTTTTCCCGGTTTTCCAATCATTATTACTTCCGCCTCTTTCCATCTGTCTGGAAAGTATCTTAGTCGCAATATTCCATTTATTATGTTAGCAATGTACACTATGATCTTGTTTGGTACATTTTTGATTGCCCTGTTGGTGATTTTATCAGAGACCTGCTGCTTTTTTGGGATTTAATATTTTGAATTAATTCTTTGATCTCTTCCGGACTTGTATGCTCTAGGCCTATTATGCCTTTTCTTCTTTTTAAGCGTCTAGCGCTTCTTTCTACTTCCTCCGTTAAGTCTAAATTTTCTGCCGGGTAAAAGTTTTGCGTGTTATTGGTTTCAAGTGTTTCTCTCATTACCTCCGATTTTTCTTGATCAGTAAATACTCTACCGTTTGTTCCGTGTAGAGGTGGTATGAGCTTTTTATCAATTCTTATTTCCTTTTTATCAATTATTTTTTGATACTTTCCAGAATGCGGATTGATTTGGATTTAGTTCTTGGATATACAGTGGTGAGTGCTTTATCATCCGGCTTTTTAACGTAAGAGATAGAAAATACAGTTACCTTGTGAAATAAGAAGAGATGAAACTCGTAAAGGTGGGAAATAATCGATAGAAACCTATAATTTACATTACATTACATTACCACCGTCGATAGTCTCACACCTTTAGACGTTATTATAGTATTAAGTGTTTACAAGTCGCTTTAAAACCCGGCAAAATAGCGGAAAGGATAGAGGATGGATTTTGTGAGAAAGAATGAGATATAGCTAGTTCTTAGACGTGGCTATTTGACTTCAGTCATAATTATACGGATGACCGCAAAAATATTTTATTTTAATAATTTCTGATGTAAGAATAAATGATTGAATAAGTTAAGAATTAAAGTAAAAAACATTAATTAGTAGCGATTTTAAATTATAAATCTTTAAGTTTATTTAATAATAAAAATAACTCAACTGAAATATTTGACTAAACTAAAGGTAGGTATGTTCTGTTCGAAAACATTTGTCGTATGTGGAGTTGGTGTAATTATTAGACACGTGGTCTATTGACAAGAAGATTGGGGTTCAATTCCCACCAAGGATAAAATTTTTGTTTTACTCAATCAAAAAATAATAGAAAATAATATACATATTAGGTAACAAGTTTTCGAAAACCTCATTATTTACAATTTATTCTTATTCCAATGTTATAAAACGGAAAAAAACGGACAAAATAATTCAAATTCAAAAAGATATTTATGTGTAACTTTAAACACTTCTAATACTAGTAACGACTGACATAAATATTTAGTGATTCAAATCAAAACGATCTCTGCATAATTTCAAATTATTAAAAAAAAAAGAAAAGAAAACCACATATGGGTTTTGAACTCTAATCGTCTGCGTCGCAGTGTCGAATTCTTACCACTAATCCACGAAGGACTGATGTTTATTTCCGTGACAAGAGTGTATGAAACTCCTCAAATCATAGAAATTATTTTTGGTTAATAATTTAAAACTTTAGATTAAATAATCACTATTAATTAATTTATTTTATTCACATTTTTGCTTTATTGTGGCCAATCATTTTTTACTTTATGCGAAATTAAAAAATGTCACTGAAATACGTTACACATACGACGTCACAAATAATAATTATGACCGAGGTAATTTAGCTGGAAGCTAACGTCTAAAGGTGTGAGACTATCGATAGTATTAATGCAATGTAATGTAAATTATAGGTTTCTATCGATTATTTCCCACCTCTAAGAGTTTCATCTCTTTTTATTTCAAATGGGAGAATTAGCGACGGAAGTAATGGTTAGAATTTGCAATGAGATTTGGGTATACCGAAAAGTAGACAAATGACTGGGGTAAACTTGCGTTTATTCCCATATATAAAAAAAGTTTTACCGACAGCTGATTGCAGTAATTACCGCACAGTAGCATTGATATCACACGCAAGCAAAGAACTTCTAACCATCATTAATGAAAGACTAAAATTAATTCCCTTACCACAAATTCCCCAAGAATAATGCGGATTCGTCCCAGGTAGGGAAACAAGAGAACATATTCTTAATTATTCGTCCAAATTATCGAAAAATCTCGAGATTGCTTTGTTGACTATTCCAAAGTTTTCGATACTGTAAAATGTAATAAAATGTGGCATACACTTAGTGAAATGAGTACTGCAGAACATCTTATCTATTTATTAGAAAAACTATAGGTAAATAATATCTGCTAATGTAAGAGTTAATAATGTGATTTCGAAAAACATCAAATTAAAATATAAAATTCGACAGGGATGCATAATATGGTCTATTCTATTCAATGTGTATAGTGAAGATATGCGGCAAGTTGGTGAGGAAAGTGGCAATGTAAGGTGAACCAACGATAGGAGGAAGAAAAATTAAAAGGCTGCGTTATGCTGATGACACTGTTATCGTCATTACCAGAAGAACTGGAACAAATTATGAATAGGCTA